CTTGCTTACGCTTGGTTTCATGGGGCAACCGGACAAGCAATGCTCATGTAAGGCGCAGAGTTCCAGGTTGCTGAAACACCTAAGCGGTGAAAGTTTAATCGGGATCGAAGGAAGACCTGACATGGAAACCAGGTCTTAGATATGTCACGTTCGATTTCCTGGATAGGGTTTTCGGGGTCATCATAACCGATAGTTAAAGACGCTGAATGATGTGGTCGAGTGTCGTAAACAATGGCACTTATGTATCTCAATTTCCTTGCCGCCTTAGTTTGTTGGAATTCTTCAGTTAATGTTCAACACTGCTTTCAACTTTTCAATATTCCTTGTATCCCTTTCATCCAAATGGGCAGCCACGAGACAGTAACCGAAACCGCTTCAGGAAAATGCTTGGTTAGTGGTTGTACAGATTGAAACTCTGGGTCTTTTAAATTCTGCTCGCTTCGCCAAAGATTCCATCCCGAGGATGCCTATCTGGTGACGTAAAGTTTATCACAATCCTCATTCTATAAACGTCGTGCATTGGTGTTTATGTGTGACCACAATACTTCGCCTAACCCTAACATTACCTATCCGGGTTTTTCATCACACTTGTTCAATACCGTGTAGACTGCGGAGTTCGACCATCGATGATCTGCATTTATATCGTCAGTAGCAGCCATGTCTCTGCATCTTACAGCAGCTAGTTGATTCAACTACCCAGAAATATTCTGGTCTCTTCTCAACTAGTTAGTTAGATGTTACGGACGTGCAGGAGATATCTTCAGATGGAGAACGGAAATCAAGCTTTCTGTGTTCTGTTTGAGGAAATAATGTAGCTTCCTCAGCAGTAAAGTTTGCTTGCCCTTTTTTGCCTCTCCCAAATTAAGGTTCGATTGACAAGTGGGCGTACCTAACCATTAAGAAGCATACAGAGTAGTCTTACAGTAAAATAGAACTAGTTTAGTTAGAGCTGAACGAATAGATCATTTGGGAATTTCAGTTTTGAAAGAAGAGGAGCAAATGCCATATCTGTAGCGTTCACGGCTTCAGTGAATTGGTTCCTTTCATTGTAAAAGTAGATGTGTTC